AAGTTTCAAAACACTTTATAGCAGCGGTTCTCAACCTGGGGGTCGCGACCCCTTTGGGGGTCGAACGACCATTTCACAGGGGTCGCCTTAGACCATCGGAAAACACATTTCCGATGGTCTTAGGAACCGAGACACCGCTCCTGTCCCAGGCGATGTGTGGGTGGGATGATATGCTGCCCCTGTCACCTGGCCACACCTCCGGGATCACTCAACAGCTCCGCCTCCTCGCCGCTGATTGGCCACCGGAACTGTAGCTCAGGAGAGGCACACAGGCGGCCAATCACCGATGAGGAGGTGGAGCTTGGAGAGGAGGAGCCGAGCGGCAGCGCGCGTAGATCAAAGAAGATCGAGGGAGCTGCAGGAGCGAGTGAAGAGAGAGGCCAGAGAAGAAAGACAGCTGACAGGTAAGTGAAAATAAGTATGCAGGCTGTAGATGGGAGAGGGAGAGAGCGAGCCCAGGCTGGAGCAGGGGTCAGCAAGGTAAGTATCATTGGTGTCAGTGGGAGGGATAGTGCCCCATCATTTGTGTCACTAATACCAACGATGGGGCACTATTCCTCCCCCCACTGACACCAACGATCGGGCACTAATCCTCCCCCCACTGACACCAATGATGGGGCACTATTCCTCCCCCCACCGACACCAAGAATGGGGCACTATTCCTCCCCCCACGACACCAACGATGGGACACTATTCCCCCCCCCCACTGACACCATGATGATGGGTCACTATTCCCCCCTCCACCACACTGACATCAATGATGGGGCACTATTCCTCCCAGTGACACCAATGATGGGGCACTATTCCTCCCACTGATACCAATGATGGGGCACTATTCCTCCCACTGACACCAATGATGGGGCACTATTCCTCCCACTGACACCAATGATGAGGCACTATTCCTCCCAATGACACCCACAATGGGGCACTATTCCTCCCAATGACACCCACAATGGGGCACTATTCCTCCCAATGACACCCACAATGGGGCACTATTCCTCCCACTGACACCCACAATGGGGCACTATTCCTCCTAATGACACACCACAATGGGGCACTATTCCTCAGAATGACACCCACAATGGGGCACTATTTCCTGACCCAATGACACTCACAATGGGGCACTATTCCTCCCACCCACTGACACCCACAATGGGGCACTATTCCTCCCACTGACACCCACAATGGGGCACTATTTCTCCCACTGACACCCACAATGGGGCACTATTCCTCCCACTGACACCCACAATGGGGCACTATTCCTCCCACTGACACCAATGATGGGGCACTTTTCCTCCCACTGACAACCAATGATGGGGCACTATTCCTCCCACTGACACCAACGATGGGGCACTATTCCTCCCACTGACACTAATGATGGGACACTTCCTCCCCACTGACATCAACGATGGGACACTATTCCTCCCACCGATACACAATGATGGGGCACTATTCCTCCCACTGACACCAATGATGGGACACTATTCCTCCCACCGACACCAATGATGGGGCACTATTCCTCCCCCACTGACACAAATGTTGGGGCACTATTCCTCCCACTGATACCAACGATGGGACACTATTCATCCCACTGACATCAGTGATGGGGCACTATTCCTTCCACTGATACCAATGATGGGACACTATTCTCTCCACTGACACCAATGATGGGGCACTATTCCTCCCACTGACACCAATGATGGGGCACTATTCCTCCCACTGACACCAATGATGGGGCACTATTCCTCCCACAGACACCAATGTTGGGGCACTATTCCTCCCACTGATACCAACGATGGGACACTATTCATCCCACTGACATCAGTGATGGGGCACTATTCATCCCACTGACATCAGTGATGGGGCGCTAGTCCTCCCACTGCAAAATTACAGTTATGAAGTAGCAACGAAAATAATTTTATGGTTGGGGGTCACCACAACATGAGGAACTGTATTAAGGGGTCGCGGCATTAGAAAGGTTGAGAACCACTGCTTTATAGGTTGTAAAGAACTGAAAATTGTCATTTGTTGTGTTTGCAGCATATTTACTGAAATCAAAAGCTATTTCAATCAAACTTTTAACAACATTTTAACTTTTTAAACATTTTTACAGTTCACGTTACATTGTAACATAGGACCCCTTATTTGATAGCAGCTTCACAAGTCTTGCATCCATTGAACTTGTGAGTTTTTGGACAGTTTCTGCTTGAATTTGTTTGCAAGATGTCAGAATAGCCTCCCAGAGCTGCTGTTTGGATGTAAACTGCCTCCCACCCTCATAGATCTTTTGCTTGAGGATGCTCCAAATGTTCTCAATAGGATTGAGGTCAGGGGAGGATGGAGGCCACACCATGACTTTCTCTCCTTTTATCCCCATAGCAGCCATTGATGCAGAGGTATTCTTTGCAGCATGAGATGGTGCATTGTCATGCATGAAGATGATTTTATTAGGGAAAGCATAGTTCTTCTTTCTGTAGCAGGGAAGAAAGTGGTCAGTCATAAACTCCACATACTTTGCAGAGGTCATCTTTACACCTTCGGGGACCCTAAAGGGGCTGAGCAGCTCTGTTCCCATGATTCCGGCCCAAAACATGACTCCACCACCGCCTTGCTGACGTCGCAGCATTGTTGGAACAGGGTGGCCATCCACCAACCATCCACTACTCCATCCATCTGGACCATCCAGGGTTGCACGGCACTCATCAGTGAACAGGACTGTTTGAAAATTAGTCTTCATGTATTTTTCTGCCCAATGCAGCCATTTCTGCTTGTGAGCATTGGTTAGTGGTGGCCGAATAGAAGGTTTATGCACAGTTGCAACACCCTGGAGGACTCTACACCTTGATGTCCATGGGACTCCAGAGGCACCAGCAGCTTCAAATATCTGTTTGCTGCTATGTAATGGTATTTTAGCAGCTGCTCTCTTGATCCGATGCATGGATCTGGCAGAAATCTTCCTCAATGTGCCTTTATCTGCACGAACCCGTCTGTGCTCTGAATCTGCCACAAATCTCTTAATAGTGCAATGATCACGCTTACGTTTTCGTGAAATATCTAATGTTTTCATACCTCGTCCAAGGCATTGAACTATTTCACTCTTTTCGACAGCAGAGAGATCCTTTTTCTTCCCCATATTGCTTGAAAATGGCGCTCTGCTTAATAATGCGGAAGATCGTCCTTTAGTAGTTTTTCCTTAAATTGGGCTCACCGGCCAATTTAATTATCACAGGTGTCCGAGATTGTTTTCAGTGATCAAAAGAGCCCTGACACACAATGCCATCCATGAGTTTAAACTGAAAAACAAAATATTTCATCTTTGTGACACTTAAATAGAATTTGCATAATAATTTGGAACACGGTGTATTGTAAAGCGCTGAGCAAACTGTTGGCGCTATATAAATCCTGTATAATAATATTCATGGGTACTGTTATTGTTCACATATTCACTTTAATTTGGACTTTTATATTAAATGAAATGGAAAGAAATGAGGCAGACATATAAAAATAAATGAGGCAAAGGAGAAAGAGATAGAGATGAAAAGTCCCTCTACCAGCTTTATGTTTATGGCAGTGTCCTGCAAATACTGCACCTGTAGTCTCTATATATATTCAGCATCACATATTAACACTAAGGTGTCCGTTTATGACATAGAGAATAGCTGCAATTCAGAGGATCGCAGCTACTCTCTGGTCATTCACAGTTTATGACACTCAGGAGATCAGCGGAGAACATGTTCAGCCCTTCACTGAAGATCTGTGTTCTCCCTCCAGATTCTCCAGCCCAGAGCTGGAGAATCGGAGGAACTGCAAACTAAGCAGAGATAATTTACCTCTGCTTAATAAACTGATCTCTTACTGTAATCTCACGAGATTATAGTAAAAGCAGCCATTTTCCAGCGTTTGTAGACCGCTCTCCAGCGTTTGTAGACCGTTCTCCCTTCATTCGGAGAACTGATTTACACCGCTTCATAAAAGGCATTCACAGGAGAACTGTGTTCTCCGAGAATGCCGGAGAACTGTGTTCTCCGAGAATGCCGGAGAACTGAGCAGCAATCATTTACCGCTGGTTCATAAACAGACACCTATGTGCTTGTAAACCCTTACATATACCCAGTGAAGTTAGAGGCATCAGATGAAACACAGAGATGAAGCAAATCATCCTAGACAAGTTCTACCTGTTTATCTGTAGTCTTCTCTACTCCACAGCCATTCAAAGTCCAGAATTTATAAAGCTTGTCTAAGCTGTCAGAAAAATAGGGCGGAGAGCTTAAGTTACATACTGCAGAGCTCAGTGAGGAGAGGTCTGAGAGCTGACTGGAGGGAAGGGACATGCCCCCCTCCACACAGCACACAGAAACAGAGCTGAGGCTGTCTATCTGATGAAGGTCTCTCCCCTGTCACCATTTTTCTCTTGGTGTCAGGAAAACCTGTCACAAGTGACTCATGCTAATAGCAGAGGAACAGGCAGCACAAAGAAATAACACTCCTGCTCTGGAAAGAGACAAGTACACACTGGGGAGGGGATATATTTTGTTTATATTTCATGTTTGAGATTTACAGCACTGACTGTCCATGCAAATATCCTTGCATAGATTACAAGTAGAGATCACTGCAGTAGTGGTGTCTACTTCAGTGATCTTAGGCTTCCAGGGGCATTGGTCAAGTATGGTATATACATAGTTACATTGGTCAAAGCTAGACCAATGTACTTACGTATCAAATATCCATACCTGGAATTCCTCTTTAACCTCTTGCCGACCGCGCATAGCATAGTCGAATGACGGCTTCACCGCGGCCGGCCAGTTCTGAGTGGACGTCATATGACATCCTCCCAGAACGCGCTCTCCTGCGCGCCCCAGGGGGCGCGCACCCGGCGATCTCTGTGATCGCTGTGTCCTACGGACACAGCTGATCACGTGATGTGGTTATGTAAGGCCGATCCCACCGGCCTTTTACCACGTGATCAGCGTGTGTCCAATGACACGCTGTATCACAGGGAAATGCAAGTGCCGGTTCTCGGGCTGCACTTTCCTCACGCTGTCAGATCGTGAGGAAAGTACTGCCGAGAACCGGCAGTTGTCAGAGCGGGGATCGGCACCGATCATCAGGGCACTGATGATCAGTGCCCTGATGATCGGTGCCCAGCAGTGACTTGGATTGTACCCTACAGTGACCCCTGGGACTGAGTTCGCCCAGCAGTGCGCCCACTAGCCCCGCCAACCCGTTCCCAGCAGTGCCCCCACCTGTGCCCAGCAGTGCCCCCCCACCTGTGCCCAGCAGTGCACCCACCACCTGTGCCACTCTGCAGTGCCACCTACCTGATGCCCAGAAGTGCCACCTACATGTGCCCAGCAGTGCCACCCACCTGTGCCCACCCACCTGTGCCCACCAGTGCCCACCCACATGTGCCCACACCACCAGTGCTGCCCACCAGTGCCACCCACCAGTGCAGCCCAGCAGTGCTGCCAGTCAGTGCCACCAGTCAGTGCCCAGGGGTTGTGCCAGTCAGTGCCGCCAGTCAGTGCCCAGAAGTGATGCCAGTCAGTGCCGTCTATCAGTACCCATCATCAGTGTCACCTATCATCAGTGCCGCCTATCAGTGCTGCATATCAGTGCCGCCTATCCGTGACCCCTAATTTAGTGCTGCTGTCTATCAGTGCCGCCTATCCGTGCCACCTCATTAGTACTGCCTATCAGTGCCCTTTAGCGCTGCCCATCAGTGCCGCCTATCAGTTGCCCATCAGTGCCGCCTCATCAACGCAAATCAGTGAAGGAGAAAAAATACCTGTTTGAAAAATTTTATAAAAGATACAAATAAACTTTTTTTTTTTTCAAATTTTTTGCACTTTTTTTTAATTTATAGCGCAAAAAGTAAAGCGCCCAGTGGCGATTAAATACCACCAAAAGAAAGCTCTATTTGTGAGAAAAAAATGATCAAAATTTCATATGGGTACAATGTTGCATGACCGTGCAATTGTCAATCAAAGTGCGGCAGCGCTGAAAGCTGAAAATTGGCCTGGTAAGGAAGGGGGTATAAGTGCCTGGTAGGCAAGTGGTTAAATATCTATTTCTTTAGTAAATCAACTCCATTGAGTTATATGCCTCTGCCACTTTTGGGTTTATGTAGATAATTATAGGTAGTCAGGCATGCCTCATTATTACCAAGTCAGTAGCAAGGGAGATATTAAGTGCTTAGCACTTCCACCTGGCAGCACTAGAGTTGTTGGTTTGAATCCCAACCACAGAACTACCTGCATGGAGTTTGCATGTTCTCCATGGGCCTGCATTGGTTTCTTTGAATGTGAGTTAGGAATCTTGGATTGTAAGCTACATGAGGGCTGGGACTGATGTAAATGTGCAATATATATTGTATGTAAAGCACGGTGTAAAGCGTCAGAGCTATATAAAATAACTATAAAAAATAAATAGAAGGAGGAATTTAAAAATGGTCGTGTGATGCTGAAACAAAGGCTTCTAGTATTTATTAAGCAGGCAGGCTAGTACGCACATCCCTGAGCACTCTTCCAAAAGACAGCAAGGCACAACAATCATAAGGGATTAGTAGCACTTTGACCAAAATACTGTATATAGTTATATTACTATACAGGATGGATATACTGCCAACAGTTTGCACAGCTATTTTCAATACAAAGAGGGACAGTACCATTAAACTAAAATATAATACAAGAGAGTTAGCAGGCATCTGTTTGTGCTCATGTTGTGTCTAATCATCAGAAGAACCCAGAATGATCAGCTGGGATTGAACATAACCAATCAGTTGGTTTCAGCCAAAAACATTGGCTGAAACCTGCTGACAAACTCGCTCTGTGTCCTATCACTGGAAGAAACCCAGAAGGAGGCCAGCAAGGTACACGTAGAGTGGGTATAAAAAGTCTACACACCCCTGTTAAAATGTCAGGTTTCTGTGATGAAAAAAAATGAGACAAAGATAAATCATTTCAGAACTTTTTCCACCTTTAACCACTTGCCTACAGGGCACTTATACCCCCTATAAAAAAGGGGATTTGTGAAAAGAGATTCACAGAAAAGCGGCTACATAGTGAACAGAACGTGACACTCAGAAAAATTTCCAAAAATTATGCTTTATGACACATATATAAATATGACAAATGGGCAATCGCCCTGGTTTACCATCACCACAGTATGAGACAATACACACAGACCTAAAACCATATATTGGTCCTGACGAAGCTGAGTGAGATACGCCCATCGGCGAAACGCGTTGACGTCATACGTCAGATACGTCACTTCCGGTCATGCGCACTAGGTGGAACGCACGCTGACCCATAAGGAGGAAGCCATCTTCACATGCCATGAGGCAAGCTTAAGCAGCACAAGCGCCAAGAAGGGGCTGGAACCCGCGGTATATCGGCGGATGTCAGCGGTGGTTCCTTGGCCTCTTTGGCCCTGTATGGCAGTACCTATGAAGGACTTCTCTTTCATTCCTATTATCCACAGCACAGGTGGTGAGTGGACTGTTACAGGACATTAGATATATGGTCCTCTGTGATCTACATGACCTATATATCTTATATAGAGTGTAAGCTCTGTCAGTGACTTCCCACATATTGTTTGTTTCACTACAGGATGGGGACATCATGGTGCTTTGTATAGGAAACAAGATATACCACATATATTTCAACAGGCAGAAGATCTATTGGGATGTGTCTTGTTGTTCCTACGAAAAGTGGTGTGTAGTCCACATATAGTGGTGAAGAAACCATTTCAAGCAGAGTGCTGCTTTGTGCATCTTTTCTTCCATCCTGGGAATTAATGGGGCATATTCTCATTCAAGAGCTCTAGGAAACAGCTGTTTATATTACAGATGAATGGGCCCCAACCACTTGTGCCGGCACAGGAATGTATTGCATTATATTTTTGACATTATGTCTTCCTTCATACAGGCCTGAGGCTTGATGTTCTCTTTTTGACGCATATTGTGCTTGCTGCATTGCATACATGTGATATTCATATCCATAGTATAATTTTTGGATTCCCTGATTGGGATTTACCATCATGGTAATAGCTTAATCTATTATATCTTACATTACGGTATGCCTATGGTATAATTTTTGGATACACCTCCTTTGGGAAGTGTTCACCTATGTGTCTGTGCTACAGGGACATTAGACTCTTGTAGTCATTTTTTCTGCTGCACATGCATTCAGACCGGTTTTGGTGTCATTTTATATGGTTTTAGGTCTGTGTGTATTGTCTCATACTGTGGTGATGGTAAACCAGGGCGATTGCCCATATGTCATATTTATATATGTGTAATAAAGCATAATTTTTGGAAATTTTTCTGAGTGTCACGTTCTGTTCACTATGTAGCCGCTTTTCTGTGAATCTCTTTTCACAAATCCCCTTTTTTATATGCTTTTTTTTGGCTACTGAATGGAGACCAAATATTGGGTGACACGATAATTTATTCAACAACCTCTTAATAACTATTTTTAGCACACTTATACCCCCTTCCTGCCCAGGCCAATTTTCAGCTTTCAGCGCTGTCGCAATTTGAATGACAATTGCGTGGTCATGCAACACTGTACCATATAAAATTTTTATAATTTTTTTTCACACAAATAAAGCTTTCATTTGGTAGTATTTACTCACCACTGGATGTTTTATTTTTTGCGCTATAAATAAAAAAATACGTTTTTCTTTGTTTCTATTATAAAATTTAACAAACAGGTAATTTTTCTCCTTCACTGATGTGCATTGATGAGGCTGCACTGATAAGCAGCACTGATGGGCACTGATAGGCAGCACTGATGAGCACTGATAGGCAGCACTGATGGGAACAGATAGGCAGCACTGATGGTTACTGATAGGAGACACTGATGATGCTGCACTGATAGGCGGCACTGCTGGGCAGCAGTGATGGGCACAGGTGGGTGGCACTGTAGGGCACAGGTGGGTGGCACTGATGGACACAGGTGGTTGGCACTGCATGATACAGGTGGGTGGCACTGATGGGCACATGTGGGTGGCACTGCAGGCCACAGGTGGGTGGCACTGCTGGGTGGCACTTTTGGGCACAGGTGGGTGGCACTGATGGGCACAGGTGGGTGGCACTGATCATCAGGGCCGGGTGCATGCCGCTGGGGGCACGCAGGGGGACTGTTCTGGAATGACATCCATGGACGTAGTCTCAGAATTACACAACCACGCTTTAGCCATCCTTTGGCTATAGCACGGTTGGGAACTGGTTACTGTGACCTATAAACTGTATATCTCAAGTGAAAAACAAACTGAAATCTTTTAGGATTACATTAAAGATGGAAAAGGTTTTGTAATGATTTATCTTTATCTCATTTTTTTACATCACAGAAACCTGACATTTTAACAGGGGTGTGTAGACTTTTTATATCCACTGTACATTGCCGTGCCTGCACTTGCTGCCTGCTCGCAGTATATTTACTGTGAATGGGTTGTCTAGTGGTTAATTACAACAAAGGAAAATATTTTCTGAAAAAGATATGGTTGCTGTATATTGTCAGGAAATGTGTTCATGCAGATTGTAAAATGACTCAAAAGTCTACAATAATGAACAGCATAGGTGACACCTAGCAGCCGATTTATTACAGTGAGTGGATATCGCTGTTTATTTTTTAAATATTTTTTTGGCATACACGCACTGAAGCCCGCATTTTACAGCCCAATCATAAAATATGGGCCAAATTGCAGAGAAAGCTCTGTCATTTGAGGAGAGTCAGACACATCACTATGACCAGGGTCTCCGCTTGGTTTTCCCCTCGACACAACTTTCATTTATTTCAGTTGCACTCTGCCAGCTTCAGAGAACAATGCACCTTTCTAAAGCACACCGCTGTGCAGTGATTTTTTTTATTTTAAAGTGGTGGAATGCCTACAGTACACCTATACCATTGATTTTACATTTCCCTGTATTTCAGTACCATAGCACGATCACTACATTGTTTTGTTTTGCATTTAATATGTTTATGAGGGTATGGCATAGGACCAAGATTTAATAACCCATACAAAGATTTTAAACAATTGGTATAGTGCCAAACATACACCATTAAAGTCAGTGTAGCTTTAAAAGTAATTTGCTTCTAATATGATAATCAGTTGACATTCACCAATCCATTAATTAGATAAAATGTTATAGTGTTTAGATTTATAATGCAATATTAAATTCAGTGTGAGTGTTGCCTGCATTATTCTGAATATTATTCTAAAAAATGTAAATATAGGATGCCCAGAAAGCTACATTTCCACTTCTGATTCTGATCAATGGCAAAAAGGTGTGCTCTGTGTTATGTCAGATTTTTTTTTTTTTTTTTATTATATACAAAAGAAATAGCAGATCTTCTTGTAGCATTTTATCAGAGCATTTCCATCCTGCTGGGAATGGTGTGCTCTGGCCAGCTCAGTGGATTGCTTTAACCTCCCTGGCGGTATGATTATTTCAGATTTTTGGTGCTGAAAGCGGTACCATTTTTTTGCATGGAAATATGTATTTTTTTTATTGTAGGCTGTAATTTTTAGGAAAAACTCACTGAAATCTGTCCGAACAAGAGTCTAGTAAACATCCCGGGTATGATAAAATTTGAAACACAAAATCATAAATTATAATTTAATAAATAATCATAAAAATAATATAAAAAAATAATAAAAAATTTAATTCAATAATATAATCAAACCAAAAACACTGAAATGTGAAATAGAGCGCCAAGTTCGCACATTGCTGAGCAAAGTCGCAAAATCGTTTTCAGTTTCTGATGACGAATTTCCCCCACGAATCATTATCACTCAATTCTGAAAGTGGTTCTAATTTACTATCGCTGTTCTCTAGCCGGTCTAAACCGCTTTTGACCTAAAGGGACACTTTTTGGACGCCATGGACATTTCTCAGTTTCCAGGCAGAAAGAACAGACAAAATGCAGGCAGGGCGCAGGACAAAGCACTAGGGACAATATGTATGTGAAATAGGTTGAAACAGCAATGTTTTACTGTGTAAAATGTAAAAAAAAAAAAAAATGACATTTTTTAAAATTTTTAAATTTCCCGCCGGCGGCGGCGCCCGTACGTCCCGACGTCACAGGGACAGGACACAGAAGCCGGATGCCGGCATCGGCCGGAGGAGATGGCCGGGGATGCTGCAGGGGACACATCGTGGGAGCGCAGGGTAAGGTAAGTGAAGAACACTTGCCGGAGCAGTGCCGCAGGGTAAGCCCGAGTGTAGCTCGGGGTTACCGCTTTTGGTACTGAAATGTTACCCCGAGCTACACTCGGGAATACCGTCAGGGAGGTTAAAAAAGGCCTGGATTCTTTCCTAGATACATGGAATATAACTGGATACTAACATTTATAGGTAAAGTTGATCCAGTGAATATCCGATTGCCTCTCGGGGGATCAGGAAGGAATTTTTTTCCTCTGCAGGAGCAAATTGGATCGTGCTTTGCTGTGGTTTTTTGCCTCCTCTGGATCAACTGTGGGTACAGGATTATAACTTTGTTTTTTTGAATGGTTGAACTGGCTGGACTTTTGTCTTTTTTCAGCCAGACTAACTATGTAACTATGTAACTACGTATTTATATGGTAGGATGCACAGTCCAGCCATGTAGGCAAAAAGGGCAACTCAGTTTCTGTGGCAGAATAACAGTGCAAAATCTTATAACTTGCTCTTGACATTTTTCAGTGTTGCTGTTTTATCGGACAGTCATGGCAAGGAAATTTCCATTGCCCTTAAATGCAACGTATGTAATGTAAAAATATTCTGCTTTCATTTAAAAAAATGCTTTACCTGTAGCTGTAATTGTAGATATCATCTGCAAATCTGGTGCAAATAAATCTGGTATCATGGCATAATGACACAGGTATGCCACTTCTCCATAAATACCAAGGAGAATCATGTCAATCATGTGGTAGAAAAAATACTTTTTTAAATTTCCCAAACACGTGGGGATTATTTACTAAAACTGGAGAGTGCAGAATCTGGTGCACTTCTGCATAGAAAGTTCCAGGTTTTAATGCCAAAGCTTAACCACTTCAAGTCCGGACACTTTCACCCCCTTCCTGTCCAGGCCAATTTTCAGCTTTCAGCGCTATCACACTTTGAATGACAATCGCGCGGTCATGCCACACTGTACCCATATGATTTTTTTTAGCATTTTTTGAGACAGATAAAACTTTATTTTGGTGGTATTTATTCACCACTGAGATTTTAATTTTTTTGCTATTTAAATGAAAAAGTCCAAACATTTTGAAAAAAAAAAGTGTTTTTCTTATAAAATTTTGCAAATAAATAATCTTTCTTCATAAATCTTGACCAAAATGTATTCATCTATCTTTTTAGTAAAACAAAAATAACCCAAATTAATATATAACCACAAATTGTAATTTAAAAAAAAAACATTTTACATTATTTTATTTTTTTTATATTATTATTTATTTATGTTTTTTTTTTTAATATACCATCACCCTAGCAGTACAGTGTCACCATAGTAACACTGTACTACTTGTGGGGGGCGATGAATATTTTTTTTTCTTTTTTTACACTGATTGATTTTACACCTATGAAGGCTGTAAAAGCAATCATTTCTCCTTCTCTCTGGCTGCATTCTTGCAGCCATTGAGAAATACTGTAAAAGCTGTGATTGGTCAAAGCTTGTCACATGGTACAAGGCTGTTGTGAATAGCCTTGTACCATGTGATCTCTGTGATCATTCACAGATTTCACAAGTAGTAAGCAATGATGTCAGGAAGTGACATCTTGTTTACTACTGTTCCTATGATCACTAATTGGCCAATCAGTGATCACATGAATCGGGACCTCACACAGAGGTCCCGTACAGCGATCCTCCGGACACAGTGGGCACAGAATCATGGTGCAGCGTGCTCCCAGGGAGCACGCACAGGCAGAGAATGCGGAGGCCATTTATAAACAGCCATCTGCTCCTGCACTGCTCCCATCCAGCAGTTTATGTACATGGATCGGACACACAGTGGTTAACTCAACAAGCTGAAGTTAGAAGCTGATTGGCTACCATGCACAGCTGCACCAGATTCTGAGTGCACCAGTTTTAGTAAATCCCCCTCATCCTTGGGTATTCAAAATGAACTCAGCTTCACCTTATTTAGCACTTTGCTGACTGAACAACCTCAATTACTTTAGCAACTCAACCTAGTTGCATCAGAATGTTATCGATTCTCAAGAACAAGTGAAAACAATTGATGAACTGCTAATATTTTGCTAAAAGTTTCATCCCGAGAGATTCAGGGGAACTTGTGCCTGTTGGAGGCACTTTAACCACTTGCCCTCCTGAGGATTTACCCCCCTTAATGACCAGGCCTCTTTTTGCTACTCAGCGCTGCACTAATTCAACTGATAATTGCGCGGTCATGCAATGCTGCACCCAAACAAAATTTACGTCCTTTTTTTCACTCAAATAGAGCTTTCTTTTGGTGGTATTTGATCACCTGTGCGCTTTTTATTTTTCATGCTATAAACAAAAAAAGACCAAAAAGTTTGAAGAAAAACAATATTTTTTACTTTCAGCTATAAAAAATATATAGTAAACTCAAAGTTAATTATAAATTTAGGCCAAAATGTATTCTGCTACATGTTTTTGGTAAAAAAAATCCCAATAAGTGTATATTGATTGCTTTGTGTGAAAGTTATAGCGTCTACAAACTATGGTATAGATACTGCAATTTACGCCATTTTTTTTGCTATACTGCGCTGCGCTAGTTTAAGGGACAATTGCGCGATCATGCAATACGGTACATAAATTAAATTTATGTCCTTTTTTCACACAAATAGAGCTTTCTTTCGGTGGTATTTGATCACCTGTGCGTTTTTTTTTTTTTTTTTTGCGCTATGGCACTGGGGAGGAAGGGGTTAACTTTTTTATTCACTGAAAGGGTTAACTGTGTGAGGGGAGTGTTTTTACTAGGGGGCGGGGGTGTGTACTGCACGGGGACACGCTGATTGGGAGAGATAAACTCTTCTCTCCCGATCAACCTGTCAGGAGCTGTTAGGGAACTGACAGAGAGCAGAGTTACTGCAGCCCTGCTCTCTGTCAGTGATTGCCGCTAATCGGCGGGACACAGCCGGTAATGACTGGCTGTGACCCGGCGACTGACACCCGCGGCTGGGATCGGCGGTGCAGGTAGGGCGGCGGCACGCCTTGTGCGCGCCCCCTACCTGTTTTGCAAAAGCGCGCTTTAAAACTTGCTTTTGCCCAGCCATGCCGCCCTGCCGCCCTGCCGCCGTATTTCTACAGTGGCTGGGCGGGGGTTAAAACCACCCCTACCTACCACCTACTAATGCAGCAGTGATTGACAAGACATATTCTGACACTGGGGAATGTCCTCTTTTCTGAGATACCGCTCGATATATGCCTAGATATACCTTAGTCTTTCACCAAGGCTTACTCCCTTAGAACCTGTATTCGCATATTACCCAGTTGACTGTCTTTATACGCACCACGTCTTCAGCTAAAAGTAGGTATTTTTACTGTGGCTCATTTCACATGTTGATAGCCACCTATCCGCAAACATACACCCCTCCTTTCCATTTTACCTTACCCTAAGCCCTCCCAACCCATTCCCCCCCCCCCTTTTTTTTTTTCCTCTTTCTTTCTTCCTTTCTATATACTTACCTTTATCACCTCATTATTCTACCTACTAACTAACCTTCTCTCTACCTGATCTAAAGCTGCCACCTATATTCTACTCCTATCTTCGTTTTCGTACCATAACCGATACGGAACGCTTTCAGACAGACGTACTACACCCCATATCATTCATACATTCAATTCTTAGACACGTGAAACAGATCTAAAGCTTTAGCATGTGCTGTTCATATTCAATTTATTTCCTGAAATAAATAAATAAGTGTTTTTTTTTCTTTTGAGATAAAGGTTTTACATAATTGAATAAAAGCTAACCATTGTAAGTACCATTGCTAGTGTTAAATGGCTTGTCTCATCCCTGTAACTGATCCAAGTGCAAGAGAGCTTGTTCTTTTGAAAAACAACAGACGTATCCGGCCAGCTCACCAGATGAAAATAGGAGAAAGAAAGCCTAAAAAAGTAAACCAATGCAGCCATCACATCTATTGGTAGGCTGAAATATAATAGATTTTTGCTTTGGGGTTTAATACTGCTTTAAGTACTCAGAACTGATAAGTTGCATTATAAAATATTCTATATGCGAGAAAAAACATATAGTTTAAAATTGGAATGCCTGGTCATATCTCCCCTACATTAGCAACAGGTAAATAAACGAGGTTCCTAGATCACCAGATTACTGATAAAAGTAAGTGGAGTGAACAGTTGGACTATATGCGTTTATAAAAAGCCAAAGCCTTTAGTAAGTAGGCTGGGCTCCTTGGGTGGATTTCAATGCCTTATTTTCACTTTTGGTTGAAGTGTTAGCCTCCCACACAATGCAGACAACAATAGGACAGGAATCCTGCTGTTATTTATACCTTTGTACTGTGGAAGGAGGTGCCCACTAGGATACTATACAGAAAGGTCAAAATTAGAGGCTATAAATGTCAAACCTAGCAAAACTATCATTGAAACAGAGGTGATTGGTAGTAATCAGTTACAGAAGATGCATATTTTCTGCCCTACAGTTGCACTAAAACTTTATTCAATGCAGTATTGTACTGCCTTTAGCTGTTCTTGGTAAAATACACAAAAAGGGAAGACGAGCAGAAAATGATAGCACAATGATACTACCACATATCAAAGGTAAAATATAAATAAAACATCTTAGCTGATTTACTGAAAGAGTTGGTAATCTTCATTCTGTGAATATTTAGTTCAATTATCCAATCATGTGAAAAGTAAATTCCTGTTTCCTTATTTTATCTGCACATGATTGGGTATGCAAAGTGAACAACAAATGTGCTTTTCACCAGGCTGGATTATTGAAATTAATATTTACAAAATGTATCGAGTTAAGCAGCCCATACATGGAGCGATTTTCTTTTGTGCAACCCCGGGTTGACAAGGACCCCCCCCCCCCCCGCCAAGCCATTTTATTCTCCTGGCAAGGGGGGGCTGGGGAAAACTGTCCCCGCTAGGAGAAGACGGTGATTATTGCTGATTATTGCTAGCAGCTATACCAGCTGGTGTTGCAAGCGCAGTCACTACAACATGGCCAACATGAAGTTCTGGCTTGTAGGTAAATCACATATGAGGTAGTTGGCAGGCAGCTTATGTTGATGCTGAATTTCAGCCAAGTGAACACTTCATGGGTATCACCATCTAAAATTGTTGCAAACTCTTCTGGATACCTAACCAGCATAACTATGAATTATTGCACCACCAAGTTCAATATATGTGCCAGGCAAAGTACGTGTGTGAACTTTCCCTGCCAAAGGGCATGTCAAACATGACCTGCTTTGGCACAAGGTGATGTGCAGTCAGCTACATCTCAACCTGCCTGCCCCTGAAACGCCTCCAGAATCTCTAGTCCCCCAGTTTAGCTCTAGTCCCCCAGGCATATTAACTGCAAAATAGCCTGCTACCATTTAGCCTTGGCTGTTGCATAGGCTCTTGGGTCTAGGCTTTTGAGTGGTTTGGGGACTGGTGGTTATGAAGAGTCCACTGTGGAGAAAGGGGAGAAGTGACTGCACTGTCACCATCACCAAGGTTCAGGACACAGGGCAGCAGCACCTATGCCAGTGATGTGCCACATCCTCCCCATTAAATCTGCCCACTGGGCTGTGAGGGAAATGCAGTGTTCCTGACCATCCTAACTAGACCACATTTCTGTGATTTGTGTACCTTGCCAATTGCCAACACAAAGACATTACCATTGCACATTCTGCTGGAGGGCAGGCATGGCCTTCTGAGCAAACAATACCAGTGACAGTGGCCATATGTTCACTGTCTTCCCCACTTGATATACCATAAGACCTTTTTACCTTGATTGATTAAGGATGTTGACCTAATGCTGAGTGTGGGCATTTGATATGCTGCAGGCGGAGGCTGAAGATAACATACTGTAGGTCCTGTTGGCAGTAGAGGACCACACTTTAGATCTCTTTTAATTTGCTGCTTATTAAAATTCTGGGATACTGTCCTGACACTAGTTTCTACCAAACACATACCTTGAGACTTTATTTTGATTGTTTTGAGAATAACTGGGGATATAGGGATGTGAGTGGGACAGGAAATATGGGGTTGTGGTTCAGAAGAGGTTTTGTGCACTTTTTTCGACATTTTATTAAACTTTTAAAGACAATTCAGTATAGTACTGCAAAAAAAGCTCACAAATAATACTATCATACAGATATGCCCAGCAGCCAACATGTATGAAGTTCAGGGCTTCAGCTTTATTTTTTTATGAGTACAATTTCCTATAGCTTTCTATTCGGTCTGTTGGGTCTGCTACTCATAGTAGTCATTTCATGCCCCTTACAGCTGGCTATAAAAATGAGGTGTATTATCACAAACTACCTAAAAAA